TCACGGGCGGCGGACGGAGCTGTTCCGCAGCTGCGCAACGCTGGCGACACCTCTCCGCACCCCCCCACGGCCAGAAGTGCTTTCGAGTCTTCCTGGCACCTCCCCCTGCCTCTTGCGGTAGCGTCCCTGCCGCCGGCTTCTCGCGCCGTTTCGTGCCGGTGGACAGTGTCTTCCTGCTCTTCGCCTCTCGACGGAAGCTCAGACAGGGCTTCGGCCGCCGTAGCCCCGTCAGCTGTCTGCCTCGTTCTGTGCTGTGCAGTAAGAGGTGCCGGGTATCCTAAGGCGCGACGTCTTGTGGTTAATGTTACCAGCTACGAGCATAATAATTCTTCATTGAACTAAATGTTTTGTAAGATTAGACATGAGGGTTTTTTCTTCTGTAGACTAGAGAGAACTGTTGTGGTGTAGAGGTTGACTCCGAGTTCAGAGAGCTGTGGGAATTGCCGGAGAAAGTTCTTTTTCTTAGGTGTCTCTTTATATCTCTCTAATTAATAGTGCTTCTAACCTGTTAGCCTTTGTGGATGCTTACATAAAATTTGGCCAAAACAAGGCCAGCTTCTGCCGTGAGGGTCTGTCATGTTTGGAAACCATCGCGATTCTCAGTGCAAGAACCTGTTTCTTACTTTTTTTCTTAATGCAAAGAAAATCCACATGGGTTCAAAACAGAATGTATTTGGTGTTTTATCCACCTTAAAGCAACAATTAGATGGTCTGAACTGCTGATATTCAGCTGATCTGGATACCTGTCCTAATAGGAGAGTAGGCATAGATACAATGAATCAAAGTGGAATTGATTTGTCAAAACATATTATGCTTTTAACTTAAAACCCTCAAGTTCCAAATCTACCTGCTAACTTCTCAACTTCAAGAATATCTACTGTATTATCTAAGAACCTTACAACTACTGAAGTTAATACTTGTTCCGATTTTTCCCTTTTATCTTCTCCAGGGCCCAACCCTGCAAAGACCTCTGTCCATAATCATCTCTATACCCTGGGTAAGACTGCTAATTTTGTTATCTTACTGGCCATATCCTGATCTGCTGTCCAGGGGAAAAAAAAAAAAAAAAAAAAAAAACAACTTTTAAACATGCTTGCAAAACTATGAAAGTTGACAAAGTGAATTTTTCAGAAGACAGCTTCTGGAAGTACTGCAAAATTTTTTTAAATTCCTCCTATATTCATTGTATCTCACTGCTTCTGGCTACTGAAAAATTTGTGAAGACAGAAAACTCAGAAAACACAGAGAAATGCTACTGGCTAATGATACTTAGCTTGGTAAGTGAATTGTATTAATTTCAGTAAGTTTCAATACTGACTTGAGTTTTGAATTTGTCTTTTACAAGACAAGTTCTAAAAAAGTAGAAGTACAGAAGTAAATCCCTCACTTTTTTCTTTCCCTTGCACACCATTTTACAAATGGCAGGCATGTATAATTCCCAAAACATGGAAAAGCACAATTTACCACTGCAATTTCATATGTTTTAAATTTTTGTCAACAGCTGCAGATCATATATTATTTTGGAAAACAGATACAGTTTAATTAATTTTGCTTTTCAGATTTGATGCTTTTTTACATCAACTATGTCTGTGAAAATCTGAAATAGAATGCAGCAATATGAAATGCAGACTTTGTAAAGTTAGATTTTCAAGTCATGGTTTAAATGAGGAATTGGTGCTGACTCCATAAGTTTCTGTGGAGAGTCCCATTAGGGACAGATATTTTCAAAATAATTCCCCCAGTCCAGTTCATTTAAGACAAACTGCATGCCAGACCAGCTGTTCTGAAGCAAATGAAAGGCTGAGAAAAGAGTAGCTGAGCAAGGCAGGAAGATAGATGAGATGATTTTTTGAGCTTGCTCCAGACTTCAAAGCATAGAATCATTAAGGTTGGAAAAGACCTTAGTCAGCGTCCTTAATCAAGACCTTAGATCAAATCCAACTGTTTACCCAATACTACCATGACCACTAAACTGTGTCCTGAAGTGCTACGTCTACACATTTGTTGAACACCTGCAGGTATGGTGACTCCACCACCTCCCTGAGGGGCCTGTTCCAATGTCTCACCACTCTTTCAGAAAAGAAATTCTGCCTAATATCCAATCTAACCCTCCCCTGGCACAACTTAAGGCCATTTCTTCTCATCCAATCTCTAGTTCCTTGGAAGAAGAGGCCAACACAAACCTCACTACAACCTCCTTTCAGGTAATTGTAGAGCAATAAGGTCTCCTCTCAGCCTCCACTTTTTGCAGACTAAACAATTCGCGTTCCTCAGCCACTTGTCATAAGACATGTTCCCCAGACCCCTCACCAGCTCCATTGCCCTTCTCTGGACCTGCTCTAGCACCTCAATGTCTTTCTTAGACTGTGATGCCTATAGATGAACACAGTAATCAAGCTGTGGCCTCGCCAGTGCTGCATACAGGAGTACGATCACTCCCTTACGCCTGCTGGCCACAGTATTTTTGATACAGGCCAGGATGCTGTTGGCCTTCTGGGGTACCTGGGCACACTGCTGGCTTGTGTTCAGCCAGCTGGCCACCAGTACCACCAGGTCTTTTCCTGCCTGGCAGTTTTCCAGCCACTCCTCCCCAAGCCTGTAGCATTTCTAGGGTTGTTGTGACCACAGTGCAGGACCCAGCACTTGGCCTTGTTAGACCTCATTCAGTTGGCCTTGGCCTATTGATCCACCCTATGCAGATCCCTCTGCAGAGCCTTCCTACCCTCATGCAGATCAATGCTCCCACTCATTTTGGTGTCATCTGCAAACTGTATTACAGAGGGTGCACCCGATCCCCTCATCCAGATCACTGATAAATATTTTAAGCAAGACTACCCTCTTTGGATCCCTTCCTCTTGTACAAGAGTGGGTTTCATTGTCTTCAGGCCTGCAGCTTTAAATTTTTCATCCTGCCAAGGTTACTTCCTCTGAACAGGGAATTGCACTGCTTGGCACAGCCAGAACCTAACCTTTCTTGGGCAAATGCAAACCACTCACAGGACTGTGGTGTCCCCACCCTTCAACAGGGAAACAGCAACTTCTTTGCAGCTTCTTACCAAATTGTTGATTGTCTGTGTTCTGCCTATCTTTCTTTCTTGACAAAGGTAACTGGCTCCCAGTGGAGAGACTTCTCAGCTGGAGTCTCAGTTCTATGTAGTGCCTCTCGTATAAGCAGGACAGAAAAGCACTTTACATGACTCTTGCAGGTTGGCTTTTAGCATCAGAGGAAGGAGACTACGGTGTTTTGGCTGGAGTGCTCAGCTTCAAGACTCCATTCTTCACAACTTGGAGTGATATGAAGCCAATTGGAAAAGTGCTTTGTGCTATAGGGATTGTAGCTGGGCTCCTTGCTTTCTTCTGGAAAGACCCTTTTAACCCAGGTAGGCTCAGCAGGGGGGGGGGTCATTCCAAACTGGAATATAACTCATATAAGAGGTTGAATTTCCAGCCTGTGACTTGTGGTCTCATTCCTGCCTATAGTCTTATCAGAGTTGGTGGCCCCAAAGCAGTGTTTAATTCCCAGCAATAAAGAAAAGCTTGAAACAAAGAGGAAGACAAAATGGTCTAACAGCATTTAAAAGGGATACTGCTGTCAGAGGAAAAAATGTACTTTGCCACTGCCTTGTCTCTTTTCTGTTCTGATTGCAAACTCTAGGGTCATGAACCATCTCTGTAGATGCGCAGTGCCCAGCACAAGAGGGCTGACGTTTCTCCAAACATGGCAAAGGATAAATGATATACAGGAGGCTCAGAGCATGATTTATGTGGTACAGCTTTTCATAATGTGAAAACCAGCTTCATCCTTGAAAGATACTGGTCCAGGAAACCAGACAAAGAGCATGTGACACAGCTAGCTTGCCTAATCATATCATTAGCCCTGGCCATGATATTCTAGGCACAATATCCACGACAAACTGTTGTGGTGAGCAGAGCCCACCCTAGGCAGGGATCGGCGTGCGGAAGATCTCGCGATGTAACGGAAAGCTCAGACTGCCCACGAGGGGCCTTGTGGGCGTGGCTTGTGCTATATAAGCAATTGCAGCTGCGCAATAAACGCCATTTGCAACATCCTTCATATTGAAGCCTGTGTCTGTGATGGTACCCAACGGCAGAGGTTGGGTGGCAGAGATCCCGGGGATCGGGTGTCGGTAACGACAACAAACATGAAGTAATAAAACAATTCACCTCCTGGGCAGTTGGGCCTGGGGATCGTTAATGGCAACTGAGCCATGCTGGCTGAACGCTTTTCACATCCATTATCCACTTCCATGGAGAGGTGGGAATGATGAAGCAAGGCTGGGCTGTTTGGTTTCTAACACACCAGCTGCTGTATGAGTGAAGTGGGTCAGTCTGAGCCTCCTACTCCGTGAATGAAGTATGAATCTGGGGGTGGTCAGAAAAAAAGCAGGGAACTGGCTGTTGCGTGCTAGCAAAGCTAGCCTGAGATGACTGCCATGTACTGGAGCATTTCTGAGGTAGCCAAGCTTTCCTGTGAACCAGGCCAGAACAGATCAGGATGGCTGACTACTTGACATGAGGTGACACAAGACTAATACTTTTGTTGTAGGCATCTGTCATAAAGGGAAAAACGGCTCATCCTTCAAAGATTAGGTGATTTTTGATTGTTTTTGGTCTAGCAAGAATTGCAAGGTATTGTATTGTTAATCTCATGGCTTCTTTAGGTCAGCCCTGCCTCTTCTATTTCTGGAGACGCATCAAGACTTTTGAGCACTTACGCCTTTCTACTTTAGAACTCTACTAATGCTTAAGGGCAGCTCCTCTGCTGCTTCTTTCACTTATTCTATATCTCTTGTTCTCTTTCCTATAAATAAGAGAGCTTGTCTGGTGCTCGCGTTCTCCTGACTGGAGCCAGTGCTGGAATTGGAGAGCAGATGGCATATCATTATGCCAGATTTGGTGCTGAAATTGTTTTGACTGCTAGAAGAGAAGCTGTGCTGCAGAAGGTAATAACTCATTACTGGGCATCTTCACATACTCAATATAGCAAAGGAGCTATGAAAGATGAATACTGCTAGAGCCTTAGCAGATATTTTGGAACAAAAAATAACTTAATGTAAAGCATAACCCTTAATCCAGAACAGTTCTTCTGAAGATGACTGTCTTTTTCAAGCGAATCCTGATCCTTTTTTCAAGGTAGATGGAATCTGCATCCTTCTAAGAGTTACCTTTATTTACTATCTAGTTAAACAAAGTCTGGATACAAATTGAACTCTTCATGGGCTGAATAACAGTAGATTTAAAAATAAAGTCTGTCTCTATCTAGAAGTGACTCTCACTGACTGTAGTACGGGAAAATACAGTGCCTTACAGTGTCCTGATTTCTATTCCTCCTACTCCATATTGTTTAATTTTTGGGTGTGTGATCTTTTTCAAGGTGATGGAGAAATGCCTGACTCTTGGAGCAAAGAAAGTATTTTATATCCCTGCAGATATGTCTTCCCCTTCAGAGCCTGAAAAGGTGGTTCAGTTTGTTGTCCAAAAGTTGGGTGAGTGTCTTGGGCATCTCTTTGGCTTTCAAGTATATAGACAGTTCTTATACTAGAAAGAGCTTTCTTTTGCTGACTACATGGCCCAGCATGAAAGACAAGGCCATTAACAGGAAGCATACTGCCCAGAGTTTACCATCCCATTCCAAAGAATACAGGAATTATATGATGTGACTAACAACAGGAGGAAAAAATAAATCAATATATTCACTCATGGTACATAATTTAGCAAAGGAAGAAGTCAGCTGAGCTAGAAACCAAGTCAGCAGTCCAATCACACAGAAATCACTATGGTAATTGCTGGAGAAGAGCATCATAACATAACCCTTGTTCTGTCCTGGTCTCAAGTGTCTGTCCCACCATTGCTGGAGACTCTAATTACACTGGACGGTCAGAGAGCCCTTCTGATAACAAGAAACCCTACATAGTGCATCACTACGTAAGTAAATTTCCCCCACTCCCTGCAAGCAGAGCCAGCTTTTTATGCTTTTAGCTTCAAAGGCAGGACATGTGGTGTTAATTTCCTAGTTGGTTTTCACCCAAGGTTGGCCAGGCCTTGAGACAAAACCAAGAGGAAGGGCTTTCCTGCCTGGTTGTGGGCATCATCCATATGTCAACCTTGATTCAGGGCTTGGGGTTTAGATCCCAGCACTTCAAGCTTCCTGCTTCGGTTTCCCCATGTTCCTCACTGAGGCAGATGTTTAGCATGGGAGGGTGTGGGGTTTGTAAATAGCAATTTGGATGCGGCCATCTTTTTAGCTGCTTTTCACGTGGAGGGCATGTCTTTTGCTAGGAAAGTACTCGCTCATAGTGCTTCACTAAAATTACACCCCAGCAGTGCGTCACCTGTCACAGGGTACCACATGTACATACATTTGCCCTGGGTGAGCAGGTACCATTTGCACACACCTGACCCTGAACACAGTGCCTTGTGTTGAGAGAGGCAGACACCAGGAGGTCTGAAAGCAGTGACCTGCCCCTGTAGCATAGCTCAGTTCTTTAATACAAAGGACAAGGGATGCCCACTGTTGAGTCCTTATCATGTCTTCAGGGTTCTTGGTTGGTGATCATGTGCTGCTTTTTGATTGTATTTTGTGCCCTGTAGGAGGTGAGTGATCATTTGGGTCAGACTGTCCTTGGGCAGCATTTTCTACTGTACTCACTAGCCTTTTGTCCATTACTTGAGTGTCTTAATTACTTCATTATGCTCTTAATTTCTTAAGACACCCACATCAGGAAAACCATATGTAAGTGTTCTGTGATTTGGATGACCTGCCAGTTCAGCAGCCATCAATTCATACTTTTAAATCTTCTGCTGTTTTGTGCTGATACATTGCCATTTTTCTGTTACAAATATGTATACTTATAACTCTGAAAATAGTGTTCCTTTAGAACTAAGTTCCAAGTCTGCATTACCCTGAAACATCATTTTTGAGAGCTGCTTTCAAGGGAGGACAGCTTTCCTTCCAGTTCTAGCCCTGAGGAGCCAGCAAGGCTGCTCCCAGATGGGCATATTTCATTTATCTTTGTGGTAAAGCACTTTCGTGTCTTCTGAGGGAGTGGCTTGGTTGGTGGTGCCCTCCTGCTGACATTTCTGAGTTCCTTTGTTACTGGTTAGCAGATGACCCCTTTGACTGGATTTTGGGGGTTTTTGACTCCTGTCCACAGGGGGACTGGATTACCTGGTGTTGAACCACATTGGCATGACCCGTTTCCAGATGTGGACTGGAGATGTGGAATACACCCGCTGGCTCATGCAGGTGAGGTTTCCCAGCAGGAAAAAAGCTCACCTGGAACTGGGTGAGTCTGGCTTATCCTGGGACAGCTTTGGGAAACGAAGGCAAATTTGAGTCTGTGGCAGTGGTTGAGAACAAGCCTTCTATTTCATTCATGCTTCATGTTTGGAAACGGGTGTTTTGCTCCGTTGTTGTATGTGTGCAGAGGAATGTCTGGGAAGGACTTAACTTCTTCTTTCTGTCCTTCTTAACTCCCATCAGCCCAGGACTGATGGGGTTTTACATATTTAGCCAGGGATTGATGGGTAGCTACAGGCAATTGTGCAATATATCCCTAGTTTAGGAGGGCCTGTAGGTGAGGAGCAAGCACTTCCTACAAATGTATAGCAAGTGCACGTGTCATTGCAGAACCCCGTAAGGCTGTTTGAGATGGTGTTTGCCATTTGAGTCTCTGCTAAAAGATTCATGCTGACCATCCCTCAAAACCCTCTTGCCTTCCATGTCTACTTTCATCATTCCAGGTGAATTTTTTCAGTTATGTGGCACTTGCAACAGCAGCTCTTCCCACTCTGGAGAAGAATAATGGCTCTCTGGTGGTTGTTTCTTCCCTCACAGGTTAGTGTCTTTAACTGACATCACCAGTCCAACTGACTTGCCTTGTGAAAACTGGTTCCCAGCACATCGTGTTTCTCTGTGTCCTTCAACCCCTCAACATGTTTTGGTGCTGCAGGTAGGGTGTTGGCCGGCTGGCCTTGTTTTCTGGAAGACCTTCTTTGTGTTGCACCATTTTGCATTCTCTTGGAACTTTGCTTTTTACTCACCGTGTGCACAGATCTGCTTGTTTGGCTCCTGGCCCTCAAAAACCTGCTCATTGCTCCTACATTTCTGACACAGCGTTAAGACTTCCTGCCACTATAAGGCCTTCTGGCTTTGGCCAGCCTAAATAGCAGGTTGCTGAGTAGCTGCACCTTCTGTACAGGATGGAAAGGCAGGAGAAAGTCTTCAGTGTGCTCAAGGGAGTTGCATCACCATATACAAGTTCAGCCTATGGCAGATCCCTGCCTTGTGATCCAACATGCTTTGGTGTCAAGGAAATGTCATGGCCAGATGCACCAGCATGTGACCCAGTCCATGTATTGCATGTGGTGGGGAAATGGAAGGCTTTTTAGCCCAGCATGTGACCTGGCACCTTTGTAAGTTAAAAGAAATTTCCTCCCCTTAACCACATACATGGTGGCTCTTTTGCTGGAATGTACTCACATAAAGTGGGATAATTTTCTAAGTGCCCATGTGTGATTAGAAACAGAGGGAAAGTCACCTGAACAGAACATGGGTTGATGCAGGATCGCAAAGCATCTGTCTTTGCCCAGATTCCCTCTCTATGATGTCATCCTCCTTGCAGCCACTTTCCTGGTGTTTTCCATTCTCTTCTTTGCCTTGCCAGGGAAAATACCCACTCCTTTCACCACTTCTTATTCTGCCACCAAGTTTGCACTGGATGGATTTTTCAGCTCGCTGCGCCATGAACTCATCATGCACAAGAGAAACATCTCTATCACACTGTGCATCCTAGGTCTGATTGATACTGATACAGCGTTAGAGAACACCAGGTGTGTATTTGGAGGAGGATGTAGAAGTCTGGGTGGGAGAGTGCCTGCAGGAACACATCTCTTCTTGAACGCATGCACAAAATGCACCACAACTGTGTTTAAGATAGTGTATGCATCTGTCTGGATATGCAAGGAAACTAAGGGGAAGTGTGCATCTGCTTGGGCATATCACAGGGGTTGTGCATGTCCACCTCAACACGGAACATGAGCAGAATGTGTGGTAGTCAGTCTGCCCTGTTAAAAACCATACCAAGGCTTGACTACCTTTGAGTGATCCTGTGACTGTTTCTTTCCAGGGGCAAGGTGCACTTGACTGCTTCTCCTGCTCCAGAAGCTGCACTCGCCATCATCCGAGGAGGTGCCACACGGGTGCAGGAGGTTTTCTACCCATGGTGGCTGCAGCATGTGTGTTGCCTCTGGGTTTTTTTCCCCAATAACCGAGACCAGGTTTTACAGAGTTACTATAACTACAGCAGTCCTTAATGGATGCCCAGTCTCAATCTTCCCTTCCATTCTACAGCACTTCTAATCACAGTCACCCATCCCACTAAGCAATTCAACCATTGGTGTCAAGCAGCAGCAGGGCATCTGTGGCAACAAAGTAACCTTAGCTCTTTTCATAAGACTCTTCTTGTTCTCCCTCTTATCCTGCTTCAGCCATAGTTCTGGTATTTCTACCTCTGTCAGAGATGTTTCCCATTGCTCACTCTATCCTAGCCCTCCACCTGTCTCCCATCCTTCAGCCTCACCTGTCTGTTTTTACTGTAGCCAGTCTTCTCTCAACTCTAGCTTTAGCCTCCACCTGTACAAGATGTCTTGGAATGTCTGTACATTCCTGGGACATCCTGCTCCACTGCTTCATTGTCTGTGTATTCTCTGACCTTTCTTGCTTCCTATAAATAGAATTGTAATTCCTAGATTTTTTTTTTTTTTTTTAGTGGCTTGATGTTATGTATTAATGCTTCTTATGTGAAGGAAGCCTGGTAACCTGGCTTCTGTGAGCCACAGACCTGTTGGTAGACATTTGCTGACTGCACTGTTAAATCAATCAGCTTTCCTTTGCTGTAAATGCCAGTTCCTGCACTGAACATGTAGAGTGAGTTCTTCCCTAACACATTATTCCTATGGCTATATGTCATGGCTTTTAAGTTCTAGCAGCGAAGAATAAGCAGGCTCAGCTTCACTCCTCCAGGGCTGAAGAAGTTTAAAAGGTCTTACATGGGCTCTTTGGTGTCTGAAAGGATGGTTATTTTGTGTGTTGTTTCCATCTACGATGCATGAATCCTGACTGAATTTCAAGTAGCTTTGAGAGCTCAACATTTTGTAGAGACTGGTTAACAGGTCTGGAATTTATTGGAACAGCTAGGTATTGCTTAAAAATCAGGCTTGTCTAGCAGAAATATAAGTAAAATGGAGTGTACGGAGCCTTGTCAGATGCAGTCTTTCTTCACTCATAGCTGCTCTTCTCCAAGGAAAGGAAAAAAAAAAAACCAAACATTTTGAGGGGTATTTCCTAACCAGTAGTCAGGCACCTTCCTGGGAAAGGCTCACTGCAAGCCACCCCCCGCCCCTTCATGCTGTTGATAGCTAGGTGCTAGACTAAGTGCACTGTTGTTCTGTGCTAAATATAAAAACGTGTCCTGCAAGACACATCACTGCAGCTTGAGTTCTTATTCTTGTTACTGGGAACAGCATGTGGCACTGATTAGTCCCAAGTACATTTTATTTGCATCACAGGCACTAGCTGAGTGTTTTCTTTCCTCTCTCCTTGGCGTTGACTGGATTTTTGACCTACGGAGCTGTGTGGAGATAAGAACTCACCGCAATGCACGAACTCTGGAGTCTGAACTCACCCCTTCTAAACCACACCTGCCTGCTTCTCATGATAGTTTGCACTATACACCTTGGCTCAGTCACTGCAGAATTGCATTGGTGCAGGGGCAAGGAGGTATCAAAAAATCAAAGTAGTCCTAGATTTCATTCTCTGCTCATACTGTGCTTTTCTCCAGCACTACAAAATAGAGGTTTCAAAGTAGAAGAAAGTCCCAGGGAAACGGGTGCTTTCAGTGAGGGGTGGGAGGGGTGAACCATGGGCACAGCAAAAATTCTCTACCAACCCTCACCTTCAGAGCTGAAGACTGGAATAAAAATCTAGGGACAGCCTTGTTAGAGACACAGGGACAGCATGGGGTGTTCAGAGTAAGGCAGAGTTGTACTCTGCAGGACTCAGGCTCTCGCATCCATCCCTTTTTGACTACATGAATGATTTGTCTTCCAAGTGTAAGCATTATCTAAAGGCAGATCCAATTAACACATAAAGTAAAACCCCAGTTACTTAGCAAGTAAAACTTTTATTAAATAAATTTAAGGGTTTTTTTTGACCAGAGTGAGGAATTTGACAGTGACAAAGCCGGTATCACACCTGTAACATTGTACAGTCACATCACTAACTGTGATGGAAGAAACTGTAAATGCTTGTTTAAAACCAGCCTGACCTAGAATTTCCTAAGGCCTTTTATTGTTTGTTCCCATTCTGCATTTGTTGGTCTTTTTTGTTTGTTTTGTTCAAAATTAGATTAAGTCTAAACTTCATGAAATTACTTGTAGCAGAAATAAAGTACATTATACAAATCACGTACATAATAGATGTTAAGTATAAAAATGGTATTTACAATAAGTAAACATGGACTATAGAAACACACAGACTCGCAGAGCTTCATCCATCTCTCATAAACTCTCAGCATCGGATACAGAGGGGTGGTTGAGGAAATGTGAAGGTACTTAAAGAACTGTGCCACAAACATCTGAACAAAGGGAAACTGGAGGAAGATGAGAATTGTCTAAGGTTATCTGAAGTCCCCATATCTCACTTCAGCATTAACTGCATCAAGCCTTCCCCACCAACTGTCTGATGGTTGAACTTGCATGCACGCATGAATGTTCTTGGTACCTTATCAAACTCTGGAATATTGAAACTAATAATTCAGAAGGTTTGTGGGGTTGTTTTTGTTTTCTTTGCTTATTTTGGTAGAAACTTACAGAGACTGTTTCCAGTTGTTAACGAGATACGCCTTGTCAGTATGACACCCCACCCACCCCCAGAGAATCTTCGTGAAATCAAGCCCTGAACTATGTTCTGTGCTTAAATGTATGTGTTTATAGCTGTATCTATATATACTGCATAAAATATAATCTGCCCCTTGGAGGGAGTGGTGGGGAAAAAAAACCCAGCACACTTTTATCATACTATTCTTGTGTCTGCTTGGGAAAGCTTTGCAGAGGGTATAAGAGCTGAGTCCTCTTCCTAAATTCAAATGGAGAAAATGTCCCGTTTCATCTTTGAATCAGAACTGCCCACTAGCCAGCATTAGGTTACTTCTGATGTGGGGAGGCAGCATGTAGACCTGGGAGGCTTCTGTCACTTTAGTTTGGAGATTTCATCTGCTCACACTCTCTCATCTTCTCTTGCCTTAATGAAGAAAATGCTCTGTTACCATGGAGAGCCATGAAACGCAGATGTGTGCCATGTGCGGGGAGGCAGTACAGCTCCTGTAGGTAAAGGGACTGGTTTCCTGTGCTTTCAGCCTAATTGAGGAGTACTCATGACAGGCTTTGGCACCAAGTTCCAGGAGCTTTTTCTGCAGAAGCCCTTGGAAAGGTAAGACTGAGAGCTCTTGAGATCCTTAACCAGGCTGGTGCTAAGGTCAGTGGATGAGTGACTCGCGCTGAGCAGCTGGCTGTGCCCTAATCCTGGAGGTATGTAGTTTTCTTTCTCCTTGCTTCTTTCTAATCTTGAGGAGAGATGTGCACGTGCTCTCTCTGTCTCTTTCTTTGTCTCTCTTTCTTGCTCTCTGTCCATCCAAGCATCCTCTCAAAATGTTCAGGCCTATCTGCAGTGCTTGCTGAGAAGACACTGTTGCAAAGGTAAACCCTTAACTTCCAATCCCTCTTGCAAGGAGTCAGTCTCTGAATGGAAAAGTTTGGTCCTGTGAGCCACTTTAAAAAAAAATAAAGACTGTGTATATATATATATATATTTATATTTATATTTATATTTATCTATGAAAGGGCCAGGAGATGGTGCAGAAGGGAGGAAGGGAGCTAAGTTTCCATACATCACTGCAGTAGCCTAGAGACACACCAGTGGGTTTTCTTGGTCCATGTACTCCAGGCATACCCCAAGAGGAAGAGCTTTGTGTCCCCAAGGGCTGCTGGTTTTCTGGTCCCTTTGCAATGCACCACATTAGCAGCAAATAGGCGAGTCCGTTGTGGCAAGAATCTTCCTGCTGGGCAGATATTGAGCCTTCTCTTTAATTGCATGTTTGAGAGAAGAGGGCAGAAGGGGGATGGGGTGGGTAGGTGGGGAGCAGGGGAAGAAAAGGGGTGATGTCAAAAGAGTTGATAAATTTACTGGCCTCTCTGTAAATCAACCTGAAGCAGAAATTCTTCCTCTCGACTTTTCCCTTCACCTGAATAGAAAGGGAGGAGGGAGGGAATTGGGAGGTTAGGAGGACAGCTATGTAAACCTCAGACTTTGAGTTGCTGTTGCTTAAAGGTGGCAGGAAATGCCCCCAATTAGAAGGGACGGAGATCAGCCCCCCTCCTTGTTCCCAGTCTGTTGGCTGGTAGGAGCTAGCTCTTTGACAGCCAGCTCTCATGTCAGGTAGCAATTCTGTGGCCCTTCAGGGTCTCACTTTTTCCTCTGCTTTTCTGTGATCCTTGTGAATCACAGGATTGTCCTTTCCTACCCTGGAATGCATTCTCTACAGACTAACTTCAGGGCATGTGTAACAGACAATTCAAAATAAAATTATTGGGTTTTAAAACCTTTTTTAGGAAGACAAATGCTTTTTATGCATGACCAAGAAGTAGACTGAAACCTTGCTTAGACCACAAGCAGGTAATTTGAACCTGCCTGCATGTCAGCATGCCTGCCCACCTGCATGCACTGATGGGCCTGAATGCCCTGGACCAGCCTCGCCTGCAGTTTTTGTCCACACTCTCTGCCTGTGGACCTGGGAGCCTCCTTATAGCTCAGGCCCGTACCTTCGGTCCTTGTCTGATGTACATCATGGAAGTGCCAGTGTCCACTTGCCCATGAATCTGGACTCCAACCCTTGGATTGTCTTCCCCTCTGGACTCCAACCCTTGGATTGTCTTCCCCTCCTGATGTTAGATCTGTTTATTATTCTCATTATAGACCTGCCTGGCAGTCACTGTCTGACCTCATTCACCTTCACCAGACCTGACCCTGATCTGGATTTGCAGATTGACTCTCTGGCTTGGCCTTGGGCCTGCCTCATTGCCACAAACTTGCCTGATGATCTAGACTCTTGGTTGAACCCGGCCATCATCTCCAGCCCTGCTTTGGTGCTGGAGCTGGGCTCTGGCAGATGAGGCTTCTGCCCTGTTAGCTGTGTTACTGCATTTAGCTTCTTGCTTCCCATCCCATAGGGGTGCAGCCCCTGACACTGGCCAGCATTGTGTAGGAACTGTGCTGGAATGGTGCCAGCTTTACCTGTGCTGCAGAAGTGACTCCTGCTGGTTCACTGATGTCAGTAGGGATGATTAGCATCCTTAGGTCGTTTTAACTGGACCTTCAAACGCTTCATGCCAATCTGGAAGCCATTCATGGCCTGGATAGCAGTCTGTGCACTGGATGGGTTGTCAAAGCTTACAAAACCTGAAGGACAGGACAGAGGCATGGATAGTAATGGCACCATTGGTTCCATGCCCAATGCATCAATGTCCTCATTATCCATCATGCTCTCACCCACTGGTGTCAGCACTCACCAAAACACTTGCTCTGGTTGGTGGCACGATCCATGAATACCTTGGAGGAAATGATGTTGCCAAAGGGCAGGAACATCTGCATCAACTCATTGTCTCCAAACTCCTGAGGGAGATGGTAGATGAAGAGATTGCAGCCTTCAGGACCTGCAGGCATGAGGGCAACGGGGAGAGCCCCCAAAGAGAAGGGGAAAAGAAATGGGCTCAATTCAGAGCATAGCCCTGGTGGAGGACCCCAGCACTGCTTTCTGTCTTGAACTTCCCCCTCCTTGTCTGTCACTGGTCCATGAAGCATTCTGAGGGCTAAGAGCAGCTGGGAGGAAATATGCAGAACTAGAATTTAGCAGATTCAGAGCTTGCCCAGTTCCCATGTGGGGTGCTGGACACAGCAACTCTGTGACTGTCTGGGTGCTGTTTTGCTGGAAGGAAATTATCTGAGGTGACAGCTCCTTGTTTGTGGCTATCCCAGTCCTAGGAGAGCAGCAAACACCGCTATGTGAAAGCTGCTGCACTAGCATTCCCTGCCCACAGCAACACAGTGGTTGCCTTCAGCCCATAAGCCAGAGCCCCAATTGGAAATCTCCTGGATTGCAACACATCCAATTTATGGGCTGACCTGGTCCTGCCTACTCCTTCACTTGCTCCCTGTGAGTCTGATGAGTAGAAGGAGCAGTTCCCTTGCTGACACCTGTGGTACAAAGCAGGAGCAGACAGAGAATGCCTTTATCCCCAAGCCAGTTTTGGAATAAGCTGAAAAACAAACTCACAAGGCTAACAAGGCTGAAGAGAGGACAGCAGGCTGGAGATGCTGTTTTGACTGGTAGTGTGGTTCTGACATCAGTAAAGATGGAAAGAAAGTGCTGTTGTCTCCTGCCTGCATAGGGAAGGTGCTGACTCTATACCCTTTGGTGTCAAAGCTTGATGTTCTAGTGCATGTGGTACCCTTTGTCCTTGGCAGCATCTGGCCAGGCATAAGCTCAGAAAGCTTGCATGACGAGCATCCTCTGAACCTTCCACTCACTGCAGAGACATAGCTGGTTTCATAATCCAGCTCCAAAAAGATTAGAGTGGACAAAGATAGTGCTGTCTCCTCTCCGTTAGTTCTGTGGTGCAGTAGAAAAGCTACACAAAATCCTACCCCTGACAGACACAAATGTTCTCACCCTGATCCTTACCTTCTCGCTGCTGCTGCTGCAGGATGGGAGGTGGCTGAGGGATGCTCTGAGCAATGGGGGTGATGGTGGTAGTTGGATACACAGCTATATTTCAAGAAGACAGAACAAACTGTTTACCTTAGAATCTGGTCAGCCACATAAGGGCCTGAGGGAGACAAGGGAAGCTGGTACCTGCATACTGCTGAACTCCTGTGTAGGCTGGGTGCAAAGACTCTGCTACTGAAGGGCCCTGGGCTGCAAAGAACATAATCAGAATCACAGCAAAAGGAATCACTCATGTATTCTCTCTCTCCCTCTAACCCCCCCAAGCAAGTGAGTCTCACTGTGTGGCTAGTAGGGAGCTAGAAAAAGTGTTCTGTGTGAAGAATCCAGTAAAGAGGAGCTAACTGCAGTTCCTGCGGTCTCTGGATGGTTTTGTTTTCCTGCTCTCCGTACCTGAGTATGGCACAAGGCCATTGGTGTAAACTGTTTCCAAGGCTGGATGCCCATTTGGGAATGGTACCACTCCAGTGAATCCATTTGAAATGGGTGCCACCAGTCCCGGCATGGCTGCTGGTCCCAGGAGAGGTGGTGAATGCAGCCCTGTAGAGAGGAAGCAAAGAGGACATCCCATGAGAGCTGAGGTCAGGCAATTCCCATGCTCCCTCCTTCCAGCTGCCTGCAAGATTGCCATGTATGAAGCTATTATCTCTTCTAGTTGGCACATGGCGTTGACAGACTAGTGCTGGAACCTTCACAAAATTAAAGGCAGCACTAGTAAGAAGCATGTGCATGGCATTACTAGTGCTGGCTGCCGTCAAGAGCTTTGGGATTGAACATTTTTAATCCAGGTTTGTACAGCAGCTAGCTTGACACAGCCCCCTTCCTGACAGGTGGCCAAACCCAATACGCATTACTGCTGCTATAATTACTGTGGGATAATGATAATGAACAATAACACTGCTGTACTCAGTTGCAAGTCTGCGTGGGAACCCCATTCTTCTTTATCAAAAGGAAAAAAATGCAGCAGAGAGGAACAGCAGCAGGGCAGGAGAATGTGCATGTGAGGGTGTCAGGAAGGTTGCAGGAATTTCCACAGAACTAGGGACTACGCTCTGTCCTCGGAAGCAGCATTGTTAGAGAACAGTGGCCTAAACCAGATGCTGAGCACAGAGAGATGTGGGAACTGTTTTACCTGTGTGAGCACTGTGCTGAGTGCTGGGCCAGGAGGTTCATGAGTAGCAGAGGATTCGCTGCGTCCTGGCCCACACCAGGCCCTCACCTGACGCTGGTGCAACAGGAGCTGCTGGCAGCCCGTTGAGACTGACGGCACCGATCTGCTGGATGTGGCAAGGGGAAAAGGCAACACCCGGGCTCACGTAGCTGCCGTGGGAGGTGGAGAGAACCGTCGTCTGCTGCTGCATCAGCTGCAAGGCAGGACCGGGCGATCAGGACCCCGCTGATCCCAGGCCGCGCGCTGCCGGG